CCCTAAACCCTGAACCCTTAAAAGACTCCTGTTCTACAACAACCAAACTTCAGCAAAGCGTCCAGGGCGAGCATCAACCACCGGAAGCGGAGCTCCGAGTTCTTCGTCTGGTCCTTTGCAGTGAATTTTGGGGTATAGGGTAGAGGGTTTGGTGTTTGGGGTTTAGGGTAGAGGGTTTAGGGTTTGGGGTTTAGGGGTTTAGGGTTTAGGGTTTAGGGTTGAGACTTTAGGATTTAGGGTTAAGGGTTTAGGGCTCAGGGTTTGGGGTTTAGATTTCGGGGTGCTATGGGGTTTAGGGTTTAGGGGTTCAGGGTTTACGGGTTTAGGGGTTTAGGGTGTTTCGGGATTTAGGGCTTTAAGGCTTCAGGCTTCTTGGGGGCTGGGAGGTTGGGCCCTAAACCCTAAACCCTAAACCCTAAACCCTAAACCCTAAACCCTAAAAACCCTAAAAACCCTAAACCCTAAAGTATTGGGGGTGTTGGGACTGAAGGTTTCTTCTGTCCTGTGCATTGTGAACACCGTTTCGTTCTGAGCCTCCAAGGTCGGCTCTCTAAATATCGAGCTCGAAATCCTAAGCCCCCCGTGGTGAAGCATCAGAATGTGAAGCTTCAGGCTTAATTCAGCCTCCGAACCCTCGAATCTGAAACCCTAGGCCCTAAACCCTAACTCCAAAACTTCGGCGCGCCATGGAGCGAACTTATACGCCTCGTTCCACGGGTCGAGGCGACCTCTCACCTCCGGCGTTTTGGGAGACGCTGCGATACGCGGTTTGGGGCCTAAAGCGAAGGGTAGGGAACTACGTAGGACCTAGGGGTTCAGATCTACAGGCTTCATGGGTCTTGGGATGAGGGCCAGGGGCTACCTCCACGTTTGGGGTAACGGAGAGCTGTTGCGGGGGCGGCGCTGAGCCGTTTTGGTGTTGATTGGAGGGCTCACCCTCAACTCAAGCCCCATGCCCTCAACAAAAAGCTCGAAAGTCGCTATACAATCTGATAGCGAAAATAGCCCACAAAACCTATGTCAATTGCTACGGCCCCAAAATTAAAGTCCAAGAGCCCAACTCGAAGCCATAGACACCCTGGCCTCCTCCAGCTCTTCCTTGGATGCCTGCCCCCGCGCATGGTCGATCAGGCGATCGAGCAGCAGCCTCGGGCGGACCCAAATTCAAAGAAGAAAATCCTCAACAGAGAGATCTAAGAATTGAAACTCATCTCATTTAATGTAAAGACCTGAGAATCCTTACAAGCTTCATTTAATGTAAAGACCTGAGAATCCTTACAAGCTAGAGTGATGCTCCCAATATCCTTCTTTAGGTTGCATCGCTGGGAAGTGTTGTTGTAGTTTCTTGTTGCAGTCGCTGAATCCCCTTTCTAGGGCAACAAGAAAACCAAACGGCTTGGAACAAGCCTGATGTCGTCATTGCGCGGAATAAAATTGAAATTGCAGCAGCTGGTCCTCACCTCTGCTGAACACTCCGTCCTTCAACTCCAGAGTTATACGGTACATACGCTCCGTCTCCCTCCCCTAGCTGAAGCTCCCCAAACCTCACCTACGACCAAAAACCAATGTCGCGACTTTCCGGTCTAAGCCGAGGGACTCAGTTTGAGCTGGAAACCAGCCTGCGATCGGTCGGAGCCGAGTGGCTTGTCGAGGCTTTGGGTGAGGCTTTGGGGTTCAGGGTTTCGGGGTGATGGTATGTGGTTTGGGGTTTATAGTATAGGATAGGGTTTAGGACGTTGACTACGGGTCTTCGAAGCTGTACCGATGTAAAACACCCAAGGCCCAAATGCAACCCCGAAGCCTGAACCGCAAATCCCAAACCGCAGGACGTAGGCTTCCCTGACCCGTAACCTTCAGTCCTAAATCCTAAAGACTCGAAGCCTAAGTTAAAATCAGCGGGCCGTTTAAGGAGGGTGTCCGTACATTCAGGATCCTAGTATTTGGTGTCGATGTGCCAAGGATTTACTTAGACCGACCGCTCAGCACACTCTGTACCTTTCGAAGAGCTTCGAACTTCGGCCCCGACGGCAGCGAAAAGTTACCTGCATTAGACCCTAAATGCGTAGGAAATCTTAAGTCTTTCCAGGAGCTTGCCCTGCCTTTGATATCCTCTGCAGCCCCATCGTAGCCGCCCAGCAAGGAGGCACAAAGGAGGTCCACCTTTTGCAAGCATGCTGATGGTTGCTACGAGTAGCAATCTACAGACTGCCAATGATGAGAGTCGTCATGATGGCGGTGGTGATGGAGGTGGTGGTGGTGGTGGTGGTGGTGGTGGTGGTGGTGGTGGTGGTGGTGTGATGATGGTTGTGGCCATGCTAACGATGACGATGATGGTGGTGATGACAAACAAATATTCAGCATAAGCATGATTCAGATCGGAATACCACGAGTACCATGATCTGCGCAAAGTTATAACGATATGGGGAAGAACAAGAGTGCAATGACAGGATCTATGGGGCACATGTTTCTGAGATGAACTCGACTCGTAGCCCTCGGACTCAACTTCTCTGTCTCGGCTGAGTTGGGGCATCCAACACTAACATCGGCGGCAGCTTCTACAAACACGGACCTCCTTGGCCATGCGCGAATCCACCTCCGGCATGGGAGGTAGGCCACAGCCATAGAACCAGGTGTTCCAGTCCACGTCCTTGACGGCAGGCCTCATACCGATATGGCGTGGACTAGTGGTTTGTACACCTTTGAAAGCCATGGCTGCAGATCTGCCCCTGTGATTCTCAGTGCGTGATGCATCTGTTGACGAGCAAGCTGCTCGCCGGCAAAGTGCTCCAAGAAGAAGTTCTTGAAGTCCTTTTGACCAAAGCTTCTAGCACTCAGTTCACAAAGCAATAGTGTATATGGCACTATGGATCACAGGAAACGGGCCTCATTGACTGGAGAGACGAAAGGTCACCAATACAAAGCTCTTGATGTGTGTGTTTTTTGCAGATGTTGATGACCTGCTCATTGACTGTCTCGCTGGCGGTCATGCTGCTGATGCAACAATGATGAAACTCAAAAACTATTAACGACCGTAAGAATATCAAAAGCTCTGAACCACGAGCATCCGCCTTTGCAAGAGCATCTCTGCCTGGTGGTGGCGGCACCCAAGCACTAGAACTGGCAACAGAGAGACCCAAAAGGAAGTCCTTCTCACAAACGGCGACGGAGAACAACCTTAAACCGTAAACCGCTAAACCCTAAACCCCAAACCCTAAGCCTTAAACCTTAAACCCAACAAGGAAGTCCTTCTCGTCGAGGCATCCGCCCGTGAACCGCTTGACATGAGCTCGGAGGTAGGATTCGAAGCGGTTCTTCCCAGGGTGGATGTCCCCACATCCCCTCAACCCTACACCCCTAAACCCTACACACTACACCCCAAACCCTAAACCCCCTGAACGCCTCAAAACCTCTATGAAACACTCATGGGAGCATGGTCGCTGGTTCTGAAGTGATCAGAGAGCTGAGGGTTTATGTGGCTTTGGGCATATTTAGGGCTTCGGGCTACATAAGGCGGTTCAGCGTCTGGCGTTTATGGCTTCAGGTACAAGCGATACTTTTTCTGTTTTTTCCCCGGTCTCTAACGGAGCTGGTCAGCTCAAGAACCCTTACATGAGTACGCTTCTGTAGAACTCCAGAAAGACTCTGCCACCACCTCAACAAGCTCCTGCCCCACGAGGCTTTCCAGGTGCAGCAGCATCATCTGACCCTTCCTGGCAGCAGGAAAGAGCTCAAACTCCCGATAGCCTCAACTCCTGGCCCCAACATCCTCCCAAGACCCCGAACCAAGGAGACCTTCATGTCATCTCTGACACTACCCCTAACATCCATCTCAGCAATCCAGGAACCTTTCTCATCACGAGAAGCCCTGAATCCCTAAAGCAGCCCCTTGCTGCACATTCTCAAACGCCAAAATCAGTCACAGGCTCACATAGGGGATGCCGCTAAACGCATCGTCCGGGTCCACGCCGGGAAGACGTGGACCTCACCCGGCATGTGCCCATGAAGATCGTACAGAGTTTCAGTTTGTGAACCAGGACTCGTGTTGCATGTGAGGGTTTTTCTGCGAGCATGTACAGCACATAATTGATACCACCAATATCTTAGAATACTTCACGATACTGACGAAAGCACCAAATAGACAACCGCGCACCCTACATCGCCCTGGCGGTGTTCTGCCAGACCTGGCCAAAAACAAAACCGATGAGCAGCATAATTGCTGCCAACACGCACAGTTTGGTGAACTCGTGGCCGTTGCCAAAGTGAGACACATCCTCTTTCAGTTTGATACACAGATTCCGTAGCAGGAGCTGCTCGTAGTCCTTGCCGTTCATGTTCTGCATAATTCGGCACTCTCCAAACTTTGTGAAGCCCTCATTGAGCCAGAAGCACTCCCAGCTTCGGTTCGTGCAGAGGTTCCCAAACCAGCTGTGTGTGATCTCGTGGGCCACCACATCCGCGAGTGATTTGTCCCCTGCCAGCAGAGTCGGCGTCACGAAGGTGAGGCATGGATTCTCCATGCCACCATAGGGGAAGGACGGGGGAAGGACGAGCAGATCATAGACTCCCCAGACGTACTCCCCGAAAAGCTTCTCACCGATGCTCATGAACTTGTCTGTGTCGGAGAACTCCTGAGCTTCTTTGCGTTGGAAAGTTGAGGCTGCTTATGAGCTCCCATGTCCAAAGGAAAAAAGCAAACCCGGTACTGGCTGCCAAGAACAGTAACAATGAATGGTTGTCATCGTGGTAGGAGCAGCATGAGGAGGAATAGAGGAGGAGCAGGAGGAGGCAGGAGTCGCAGCAGCAGCAGCAGCAGCAGCAGCAGCAGCGGTGCATTCGAACTGCGTCATCATCAGCAACAACAACATCGTCATGGTTATCCCTATCACCAGTACCATGGTCATGTTCTCCTCGTCTTCCTACTCCTCCTCATCATCATCCTCATCATCATCATCATCCTCATCATCATCAACCATCACCATCAAGAAGTACTCAATCCTCACCTCATAGAACATAGAAGGACAGGCGGCAAAAGCACACGCCTTAATGGCTTCCGGCTCGCTCCAGACGTGACTTCGCCTCGACAGTCTTTGGAGCTTAGGATGTGGGGGTGAAGGCTGAAGGCTCGGAAGAGAGTTGTTGTAGGCTTATAGAGCCTGGGGTGAGGGTTTCGGGCTTCGGGTTTGAGGGCTCAGGAGGGACGAGTTTCGGATTGGACCCCCAATCCCATCCAAACTGCGCCGGGCCGTGACAAGCCCTGAGTCTCGATCCGACGTATCTCATTAGGGCTCCTTGGTCTCAGGATTTAGGGTTTAGGGTTTAGGGAAACCCTTCCTTTCAGGCATGTCACGCCCCGATCTTCTCGCTAACCAGGTTTCCGCAGGCGATGGCCAGAAGGTAGGAGGGAATGGGCACTTTCCTTCAGCTCAGGCGGGTGAGAGTTGCAGGGCATGTCGGGTGGAGGGATTTAAGCAAGGCTGCACCCAAATCCCGTCTCGAAACCCTGCCCAAGAAAGACAGACAGTCGCACAACCGAGGCTCTGCGTAAAGGAGAACCGCCTTTTCCCACCATCCACACTCTCCGGCTCGCCATCCGCAACGGCCGACATCAGCACAGTGAGCGGACAGGGTGCCGTGATCTTGGCCTCAAGGGCCGCCACACCGTCTCTTACGGGCGTTGGTGCTTTTTCGGCTCGGTTGCTCTTTGAGCTTTGGATGCTCCCTTGCTGCTGTGTCAAAAGACCATGGCAGGGGGCAAGAGAGGATAAAAACTCCGCAAACTATCCACGTGCAAACTGCAGGAAAGAGCCTCTTCTAGGACCCTCTTCCCTGGCCCGGCAGATGGGAATATCGTCGGTGGTCGTAGCAAAAGCGCAGGAATGTGGTTTTTTCTGGGGTTACGGACTAGGAGATGGAAGGCTCTTGCTCTTGCCTAGACCCCTAAGCCGCATGAACCCCCCGAAAGGGGTTTAGGGTTTAGGGTTTAGGGTTTAGGGTTTAGGGTTTAGGGTGGATGCCTTGTAGGCGCTCTTCACGCCAGGTGTGTCCTGGCACGGCATCAGACATCGCGCGTGGATCGCCTGGCCGGGGCCGGCAATTTTGCTATCTGACAGGAGAACCCCATCCCACTCTAAAGGGATCAGGTTTAGGGTTTAAGCCCTGGCGGTTTGGGTTCAGGGCTTAAGTTTCTTTGAACGAATCCTTAGCTCAAGGCTAATGAGCCCTACATCCCCCCTAATCCTCCCACCTGGCACTGCGTGAAGAGATAGGGGTGCTGCTTCCCCAAGGTCTGCTCCGGGGCAAGGATCTGCACGGCCACCGCATCCTTGGACTTGGGGCCTTCTAGGGCCTTCTTGGGGTTTAGGGTTTAGGGTTTAGGGTTTAGGGTGTTCCTTCCAGGGTCTTTTTTTTTGAGCACCTTTTTCCGTCTACTGTCACCAGCGTCTGGAATCCGCATTGCGGAAGGCAACCATGCTAGATCCTTCCAGGGTTTAGAGTTTAGGGCTTTGAGTTTAGGGTTTAGGCTCAAATCAAAGCCTAAACCCCGACCTAAACCCCTAAACCCGAAGCCCTCAAACCTGAAACCCTATCGTTTGGGGTTCGGGCCTGAGCCTCGAAGAGCTGAGTGGTGGACTGGGGATTTGGAAGGGGGCACCACACTCCAAATTCACAAACCTTGCAAGCCCAGGCCAAGGACTATCGGCCTGAGTTTGCTGTAAAGCCCATACAAACCCTAAACCCCACCAAAAGCCCATAAACCCTTGCAAACAAAAGCAGACCCCAAGCTCCAAGAAGATGCCAAGAATCTGGGGCAGTGGAATAGTCCACGCGAACCGAGGTCTTCTCCTGCCAGAGCGACTTCACACAAATGTCCGAATTCATATAGGTACCAGGTAGAACTTCCTTGATCCTAAATCATTGGCTTCTGGAGCCCAAACCTTAAACCCAAAGCCTAAATCCTTTACGCCTCTTCGTCTTGGCACTACACTACGGTCGCCACCGGTGGCCCGTTCCTTGGCGGCCAGGGGCTTCGGAAGCTGGATCTCTAGCGCTTCGCCAAGAGCCTCGGACTTGCGACCTTGGCCGCTGGAGACATCAGTCAGGGTGAAGGAGCAGCCTGATCTCGAGTTTGGAAATCTGCGACTTCGTGGCTGCAGCCCATGCCCAAACCCCCATCATCACGGGAATGCTGCCTTGCTTCTTCCTCGTATCCCTGTCGCTCTTTGACACCCCAAATTACTAAAACCTCAACCCTAGAGCCTAAACCCTACTGGTAACTTAAAAAAGCCGAACCCTAACTAAAAAAAGGGAGCTATTCGGGCCCCCACCGCGGCTTCCCACCGCGAACTGGAGCGCCTCGCTGCCGCAGAAGGCGCCCGTGACGTCGAGGCCGCGGGTGTCGAGCACCACCTGAGCAAGGATGGGCCTCTTTAGGCTTTTGTTTTAGAAGTGTTCCCTAAACCCTAAACCCTCAACCCTAAACTCTAAACCCTAAGCTCTAAACCCTAAGCTCTAAACCCTCTTACCATTTATTACCCTCGCTGAGGTTTAGGTTTAGGGAGTTTAGGGTTCAGGCTTCACGGGCTTCGGAGGCGAGAGCTCGAAGCTTCCAGGTGTTGGAGGGCGTGTCCGGGGCTTACTTAAAGGATCATGGGAC